GCTGGGGTGTGGCTCAGTGGTAGAGCACCTGCCTAGAATCCCCCGGTGAGGAGCTGGGATGTGGCTCAGTGGTAGAACACCTACCTAGAATCCCCCAATGAGGGGCTGGGGTCCTGGATCAGAGGTAGAGCGCCTGCCTAGAATCCCCCAGTAAGGGGCTGGGGTCCTGGCTCAGAGGTAGAGTACTTGCATAGCATTAGCATGGTTGGGATTCAATCCCTAGCACTACAAAGACAAAAAAGGTACAAAAGAGACAGCCTGCTGAAGAGCTGCAACCCAGAATTGTGGAAACTGAGGCTTATGTTTCCTCAGACAAGATCCCTGGTTTGGTTCATCAGACCCTTGTTTATAAGTGACACAAACCCAGCTAATGGTAGCTCATTCCAGCATATAAGTTCAAACTCAGGTATATATATATATATATATATATATTGTTTTTGTTGTTGTTGTTATTCAACAAGTCTAGCCGGGTATGGTGGTGCATGTCTTTAATCCCAATACCTGGGAAGCAGAGGCAGGTGGATCTCTCTGAGATCAAGGCCAGTCTTAACTTCATAGTGAGTTTCAGGCTAGCTGGGACTACAGGGAGATCCTGTCTCAAAACCATGAAAACAAACAAACAAAAAAACCCAAACAAGCAACAAGTCTAGAAATTGATGGCTCAGGACCTTCCTGGTCTGGCTTAGCTCAGTGGCTGAAGAACCCAGGACCTTCATGACCCTTCCCCTCCACCTCCCCAGGCAACCAGTGTCTGGGCTCCTGTGTAGTACCCTGTGTCACACAGTGGCTGCTGCATCTCGGGACATCTCACTCCCACACTATATTGAATAGTATAGAAAAGGCAAGGCTGAGACAGAGCACTCCAACAGACTCATTATCTCATGGGCCAGACCTGGGCTGTGTGAGCACCCAGGTATCAACAGCTGAGAAATTTAGTGCCAGGCCAAGCAGAAAGAGACTGGTAAAACTGATTTAGGCCAATCATGTTTCCTCTTCTGGGCCACACGTGGATACACAATTGAGAGTTATAAAGCAAGATATAAAGGGACAAGGGACAGCAGCAGGGGTAGGGACAAGTTAGACTGTTTCCTCTTGTCCCAGGCAGGGTGGTGGGCAGAAGGCTGGCAGGGCACTGGCTTCCTTTCTGTCTTCCTTTTCCCATCCTCCCTCACAACTCACAAGGAACCCAAAGAGATTTCCTCATGTGAGGGTTACAAAAATCCCAGCAGCACTGGTCTCTGATGGAGGAAGCTGAGGACCTGACTGTAATGACATCATAGGTTCACTGTCCTCAAAAGATGACAGTCTGGTTTTCATTTTTTTCCTTTTTAAAAAATGTTTTTACATTTGTTTACTGTTTGTGCATGCGTGCATATGTGCCATGGTACATGTGAGGAAGTCGAAGGACAACTTGCCACACTCGGTTTTCTCATTCCACCATGTGGGTCCCAAACACCTTTACCTGCCAACAATCTTGGCAGCCCCACAGTCAGGTTTTCTTTTAAATTATTTTTATTTTCATTTTTATTTTATGTATATGTGTTTGGCCTGCATGTATGTAAGTATACCATGTGTGTGCAATACCCACAGAAGCCAGAGACGGTGTTCAATCTCCTGGAACCAGAATTACAGATGGTTGTAAGCTGCCATATGAGTACTGGGAGTTGAACCCAGGTCTCTGCAGGAGCAGGCAGTCAGTGCTGAGCTATCTCAGCAGCCCCACTGTCTGGTTTGCTTGGACTGTGTCCCATACTTAGCCCTATTATGTTCTGTCTGAGTGAAATTTCTTTCCCCTGGGAGGTCAGCCATTCCAAGTGAGAAGTCAGGAGATGGTGAACTCAGGCTGAGGCAGGTTCAAATTTGGCTGTGGCTATGACACCTCTGCCCAGGTCCATGGACTCTGGAGGCGATGGAAGCCATGCGGACCTCTCCAGAAGAAGCCAACCAGGGCTTTTATGCAGAAGCAAAGAGGTGATGGCAGGTCCCTTTGGGTGAGCCCAGAGCTTGGCATAAAAGGAGAGCAGGGCCAGTCCACAGCAGCCCAGTGTGGGTGCTTGTCCCCGGATCCCTCCAGCCTTCCATAAATCCTGGTCCCTTTCAGTCCCATCCATCTCCAGCCCTCATGAATCCTCTTCCTTATGTGGCCCTACTCTAGTGTCATGTGCCTGAGATTATGCCCTTGCTCATCTCTAGGGCCCTGGGGGATGCTGGGATACAGTGCACCTGAATGGTTACCCCCGAAGCCTGCCCTAGTTTACTGAGTAACAATCTTATGTTTTCTACAGCTAGGCAAAATATGGGGTGCAGCTTCCTTCCCCCCGCCAGGGGCTATATATTTGATCACCCCATCCTCACCTCAACTGCTCTGGGTCCCCCATCCCATGCCACCCAGAGTAACGTCATCCTGCCCTCACTTCCCCAGCCCCTCTACTGCTACAAAGCCTTAACAATAGTTGGAATGCCCAGTAGCTGGGACAGGAACTGGAGCCCCACTTTCTCATAAGGGTTCAGGGGGTGGGGGATGGTCAAGGGATGGAGATTCCCCCTGGGGCCACTTTCATTTGAATGTCTCTCCTCTCTTCCGTGACTCCACGGGCTTCTACCCAGGCCCTGGGCACTCTGAAAATTGGACAGTATGTGGTCCTATGCATTACAACCTGCTCACTGGGTGACCTCAAAGGACTTCCTCACAGTCTCTGAGCCTCTGTTTCCACTTCTACCTGTGAGGTAGAGCCAGGGCTCCTCTTGTTTCAAGACTCAGAAAAAGTGTCTCAGAGATGGGCCTGGTGATGGGTGGAGAGGAGTCCCCAGTTGCTGATTCATTTTGAGGTTGTTCAGGGAACCTTGTGGTGCACACCCCCATGAAACATCAGGCTGACTCGGACCGTAGTGTGAGGGCAGCGAGCCTTACTGGCAGTAACGGGGTTCCCAGATGCACCCCTCTGCCTTAGAGCCCACCAGATTCCACACAGGATTCTGAGAGATGTGGCTGTCCTGAGCTCGGTCCGTGCACACTGCGCCCTCTGCTGGCATCTTTGAGAATAGCAGGAACTCGTTGGCTCAGAATTTTTTAAATTAGCAGATTAATGGGTTTTGTTATGGCATTTTAATATGCACTTGGAAACTTGAATTAAGGGAGAGTCTCTGGAGCTCAGGCTCTGGGTCTTTGTTATCTTTGGCCTCTGTTTCTGTGGAGGAGGGAGGGCAGGGCGGACTTCCAGAGGGTACTGAAGATTCCCAGCCTCCTTTTGTTTTGCTGGAGAGTTCCCAAGGACCATGTGCCAAAATGGGCCATTTATATCCTCCTTTCTTCCCTCTATTAATCTATCTTCCCATTCATCCACCCACCCATCATCCATCCACCTTCCTACCCACCCATACGCCCATACACCCTTCTATCCATCCGCTCATCCATCCATCCACCTTCCCATCTACTCATCCACCTTCCTGTCTACTCATCCATCCATCTTCCCATCCATTCACCCATACGACCACACATCTTTCCATCCATCTCTCTATTCACTCACCTCCCCCTGTACTCATCCATTTATTCATTTGTGTCTCCTGTGAGCAGATGAAAATGTGACCAGCCAGCTTCCTGCTTCTACCCCACGTCTAGCCTTGGCTGTTGCCATGCCTTTCCTACCATGATCCATCTTCCCGTCCATCATCTATCCATCCATCCATTCATTCACCTGCCTATCAATTAATCTTCCATCTATCCATCTTTCTGTCCATCCATCTTCATATCCATTCATCTATATAACCGCCCATCCTTCCATCCATTTGTCTATCCATCTATCCATCCACCACCCATTGATCAATTCACTCATCCATCCAACAATCCATCCACCCATATATACATACATCTGTGACATCCATGTTCCCATCCACCCCTTCCATCAATGAATTCATTTTCCCATCCATTCATCTAGCCATCTAGCCATCCTCCCATCTGTATTTGTTACTTTTCTGTTGCTGTGATAAAATCCCATGACCATTCTACATTCTGAATATGAGAGAAAACATACAATAATTTGTCTTTCTGTGTCTGGCTTAATTTCACCTAACATGATGATCTTTATTTCCACCCATTTCCCTGAAAATAACAAATTTGATTCTTCTTTATGGTTGAATAATACTCCACTGTGTACATAGACCCCATTGTCTCTATCTGTTCATCTGTTGAGCATGTCTTTGTTCTGACTATCCAGGGCCTTATGTTTCACCCTTCTCTGGTCAGGTCCTCCTGTTGGAAGCAGCAGAGCAGCCATCAGGCCCAGACAACAACCTGCCACCTCCGCAGAGCACCCCATCAACCTGGAATGAGGATTTTCTCCCAGATGCCATTCCCATTGCTCATCCAGGGCCTCAAAGGAGAAGACCCACAGGCCCAGCTGGTGAGCAGAGCCCACAGGGGAGGACACAAGCTGGCCAATGAGGTCAGCATAGGTGCTCAGGGGCCTCCATGCATAGGCCTCCTGGGTCTAGTATGGTTATGTGATATGTTGAAATTTGAATTAATATTAAAAAATGGGTGGGTTGCACATAAAAATCAGGATTTTACATTCTTTTTTTTTTTTTTTTTTTTAACGAACGATCTGGCCAGGCCTAGTACCTTGTTATCTCAGCTGCCTGGAAAATTGAGGCAGGATTATAAGTTTAGGTTTGCCTAAGTCATAGAGTTTAAAGCCAGTCTGGGAAAATTAGCAAAACTCTGTCTCAAAAGAAAAAGTGAAATTAAGGGTTAGGGATGTAGCTCAGTGGTAGAATGCTTGCTTAGAATCTCCCAGTGAGGGGTTAGGAGCATGGCGCAGTGGTACAACACTTGCCTAGAATCCCCACTAAGGGATTTGGAACATGGCTTAATGGTAAAGCACCTGCTTTGAATCTCCCAATGAGGAGGTGGGGTGTGGCTCAGTGGCAGAACACCTGCATAGAATCCCCCAGTGGGCATGTGGGGGTGTGGTTCAATGGTAGAGCTTTGCCTAGAATCCCCCAATGAGGGGCTGGCATGTGTCTCAGTGGTAGAGCACCTGCCTAGAATCCCCCAGTGAAGGGTTGGGGTGCAGCTCAGATGTTCCTAAGACACAAGAAGCCTTATAGATCCACCCCAAGCTCTGTAGTCCAATTCCCAATCCTTCTGCCTCAGCCTCCTGAGTGCTGGGATTATAGACCTGTACCACCACGCCTGGCTTTTTTGTCACATAGTCAAGGGTAAAATGAAATGTTCTTTCTATAGCATCTACCCTGAGGCCTGGGATCTGCAACCTTATCTGTAGAATAGTACTGTTATTTGCAGCCCACAGAATTACACTTATCAAATGCCTGCTGTTCTAAGTTCCTTTTTGTTTTTGTGATAAAACATTCTGACCAAAAGCAATTTAGAGGAGGAAAGGGTTTATTTCAGGTCACAATCCACCACTGAGGGAAGTCAGGACAGGACTCAAGCAGGAACCATGGAGGATGCTGCTTGCTGGCTCACTCACAGGCTCATGCTCAGCTAGCTTTCTTATACAGCCAAGAACCACCTGCCTAGGAAATGGCGCCACCCACAGTAGGCTGGGTCTTCCTATATTAACTAGCAATTAAGAGACTCCTCCTCCACAGATATTCCCACAGGCCATCTGATCTGGGAAATCCCTCAGTTGAGACTCCCTTCTCAGGTGACTCTAGACTGTGTCAAGTTAACAGTTAAACCTAGTTAGAACACCTGCCTAGTGCTGGCTCCAGGCTGGTTACCATGGAGTTGGTCGATTAAGTAGAATCTGTCAATGGGATCTACTGCCCCTGCTGCAGGGACCACTGGATATGTTCACATTGCTCTAGGCCAGACAGGTGACAAGTTCTTTTGTGTGGTGGTGATGGTAGCGTGTGTGGTATATGCACACGTATGTGCAGGTGTGTCTGCCCCTGCACACATGCAGAGGCCAGAGGAGGTCATCAGGTGTCCTGCTCTGTTAGGCTCCTTCTTATTCCCTTGAAACTGGGTCTTTCATTGAACCTGGAGTTAATCCAGTGGCCAGAGAGCCCCAGAGATCCTCCTGTGTCCACCACCCCATTGCAACAGTGCTGGGCTTAAAGGTGCAGGCAGCCTTGCCTGGCTGTCGATGCTATTTCTAATCTTTACCCAAAGTATGTGAGTGCATGTGGAATTACAGAGGAGACTACTAAATCTCAGAGAAGTTAGGTAACTGTCCTGGAGTCACCCAGAAAACTGGACTTTTTATTAATTTATTATTATTTTGGTCTTTTTGAGACAGGGTCTCCCTGTAGCCCCAACTGGCCTGAAATTCGATATGTAGACCCTGCTGGCCTTGAACTCACAGAGATCCACCTGCCTCTGCCTCCTGAGTGCTGGGATTAAATTAAGTGTGGGCCACCACGCCAAGTAAACTGAACTTTTTTACCGATCAATTCATAGTCCCACAAGAGCTCCAGAGACACCAGGCATGGTGGCTCACACCTTTAATCCCAGCACTTGGGAGGCAGAGGCAGGCAGATTTCTATGAGTTCAAGGCCAGCCTAGTCTACATAGTGAGTTCCAGTCCAGCTAGACAGTGAGACCTGTCTCAAAAAGACTGAAAAAAAAAAAAAATAAAGAGCCCCAGAGATATGAACAACATGCCCTGTTTCTCCTCTCTAAGTGGATCCCCTGGATTCATCTCAGAGTACACCACACCTGCCGTTCACCCCATCTCTCGGATGACCTAGGCCCTAACCTGGCTAGTTGGGTTGTCTCAAAGTGCATCTGTGAACAAGTACTGGGGAATAGCTGGGGGTGCCAACAACACAGTGGACAGTAGCAGGGAAGACAGAGTAAAAGGGCTCTATTGGGGGGGGAGGCTATGGGAGGGTGCCATCTGGGAAGTGGGTATATAGACGAATAAGATTGTTTGGGATGTTCTGTGTGATATACACATAAAAAAATCAACAAATTTAAAAAATGAATTATATTTGAGGAAAAAGCATAAAAATTTATGTCATTTTAATTAGTAGAGGTGACAAACATTATCACTGAAATATACCCGATGACTTTATATCCATACAGAGTGCCAAGGATCCAAGTGCAACCGACCATGACTATTAATAATCAGATACATACAGATTAGAGACACATGCGCCAACATCTAAGTGTTATTAGCAAAAACAATGAGTCTTTCTGTAAGAAACAGTGTATTTTGAAATGAGATGCAGATCTTTCTTAAAGGTTGAAAACTCATTCAATTTTATGTCTTACAGGGTTTATACTGAGTTCAACATTGTATAACTATTAATTCAACTGTGAATCTAAAAATTTTATAACCACTTTTGAAAGAGAAGCATCTTTGCTCTGGAAATTGTTATTGAGTATGTTAAAGCTGTAATGAAATGCTTTTTCTAAAAAAGTAAAATAAAATAAAAAAATAAAAAGAGTATCCTAAAAAAAGAAAAAAGTATATCTGGCCGGCGGGCTGGAACTTTATTATAGAAAGTGAAATTCCATGTTGGGCCACCAGGTGGCAGACACACCCTACAAATCGTGACTCCTGGAATTTTTTTTTTTTTCCTCCCTCCCTTCCTTCCTTCCTTCCTTCCTTCCTTCCTTCCTTCCTTCCTTCCTTTTTTCTCTCCTTGGCCTCCTGGATCCTCAGCAGGTAGAGTTCTTATCTCAAGCCCCTAGCTGAGCCCTTCTACCAGATTAACCCTGTGGCACACTTGCCTAGAATCCCCCAGTGAGGGACTGGGGTTGTGACTCAAAGGCAGAAGACCTGCCTGCTACTTGTCTGAGCACACAACCCACATGATCAGACCTGGATCCCCATGGTCCCTCTGACTACCGTGTTCATCTCACACCACTCTTTCTCTAGGGCCTCCAGGACAGATGGGACCGCCCGGGCCTGCAGGACCCCCAGGTTCCAAAGGCGACCGGGGTCAGACAGGAGAGAAGGGCCCAGTGGGGCCTCCAGGTAAGGAACGCTCATCCCTGTCACACCCTGGATGAAAGAGGCTAGGGTTTTGCAAGCATGGGTGGCATCCCACACCTCGATCTTGCTTGTTAGCCTCTGGTTAATTCTTTCTCTTCTTATCCCCTTCACTCTTCCATGTCAGGGGGTTTGCAGGACAAGAGTCTACAGAGACTTTGGGGGTGGTGTGGAGCTGCTAGGACCCAGGGTTTTGTTCACAACTTTCAGGGATCCCTTAGTCCCCTCTTTGCTGCAGGGTTCTGACCCCTGGTCAGGGCTGGCCCACCCTCAGTCCTTGCCTCAGAGTTCCACAGACATCTGGCTGGAGTCTCCACCCACTGCATAGCTCCTAACACTCTGGTTTCATCCATCCTCAACTCTACTGGTGTCCCCTCTGCACTGGGCCAGGAGGGGGAATCCATTTCATGTACTCGTCAAGAAGACTGAGTCCACAAGCCCACCACTGAGTGGCCAAATGATCCTGGCCAAGCCTATCCCCTTCTGGGCCTCAGTTTCCCTGTCTGTAACATCTCAGTTGACAGCTTCACTGTGACTCCTTTACTCTCCATTGTAGGTCTCTTGGGGCCACCAGGGCCCCGTGGGCTTCCTGGAGAAATGGGACGTCCTGGTCCACCAGGCCCTCCTGGACCAGCCAGCAGCCCTGGCCTCTTGCCAGACAGTACCCAAGGCGTTCTCTATTCCCTGCAGCCACCTACAGACAAGGAGAGTGAGTGTCTGCCCCAAGGTGGGTGGGCAGGTTGGGCCAAGATGTCTGTCAGGGGACTTGGCTTTGCTTGCAGGATCCTGGGGAGCTGAGATTTGCCAATGGTTAGTTGGCTCCCAGGGACCAGCTGGTAAGTGGGGCTCCTTGAGGGTTCGCCTGGGAAGGTGGCACTGGTCTCCAGGTCTGTGGTGATCCTCACAGCTCAGTTCACTGGGTCCCAACACACCTCACCTCCACCTGCCACCTACTCTGTTTGCTGTTGCGGCCCTAGTTACCTACCTGGCAAGGCCACTCTACCAGAGTCCACCTTGCCTCATTTTCTTCTCTATGTCCCCTCCCTATAAGTCATTCAACAGGTGTTTACTGAGCACCTACTATGTGTTGGGCACAGAAGGGAACAGCGTGAACCAACTCGGGCTCTTGGAGAGCAGAGTGGGCCATAGAACACACATACACACCTGCTTCCACATGAGGATACAGAGCATTGGGGTCAAGCGCTCTGGGTCTGAGGGACTGTGGAAGAGACAAAGCCCATGGCTACAAAAGGTTTTGGCTAAGTATCTTGAGATTATTTTAAATTCTTGAGGGAACTGGGCATGGTGGCACAAGCCTACAACCCTGGCACTGGCAAGCTGAGGCAGAAGGACCAATGCAAGTTTGAGGCCAATCTGGACTACATGGTGAGTCCCTGTCTCAAAAGAGCAAAGTATATTTTAAAAGAAAAATATGGTTTGGGCTCATGGCTCAGTAGTAGAGCTCCTGCCCAGAACCCCCAGTGAGGGGCTGCAGTGTGGCTCAGTGGTAGAGTGTCTGCCTAGAATCCCCGAGTGAGGGGCTGGGGTGTGGCTCAGTGGTAGAACACCTGCCTAGAATCCTTCAGTGAGGGGCTGGGGGGTGGCTCAGTGGTAGAGCAGCTGCCTAGAATCCCCGAGTGAGGGGCTGGGGGGTGGCTCAGTGGTAGAGCAGCTGCCTAGAATCCCCGAGTGAGGGGCTGGGGGGTGGCTCAGTGGTAGAGCAGCTGCCTAGAATCCCCGAGTGAGGGGCTGGGGGGTGGCTCAGTGGTAGAGCAGCTGCCTAGAATCCCCGAGTGAGGGGCTGGGGGGTGGCTCAGTGGTAGAGCAGCTGCCTAGAATCCCCGAGTGAGGGGCTGGGGGGTGGCTCAGTGGTAGAGCAGCTGCCTAGAATCCCCCAGTGAGGGGCTGCAGTGTGGCTCAGTGGTAGAGCACCTGCCTAGAATCCCCCAGTGAGGGGCTGCAGTGTGGCTCTGTGGTAGAGCACCTGCCTAGCATGCATGAGGCTCTGAGTTCAATCCCCAATACCACAAGAACTAAATAACTATACCCCCAAGAGAAAATTAAACTAAAACTAAAAAGTAAATTTAATTTTTAAAATTACACTTATCTATTTAGTTATTATGGAGCAGGGCACATGCCACAGCATCTGTGTAGAGGTCAGAAGACAACCTGTGGGAATCAGTTTTCTTCTTCCACCACGTGAGGTCCAGGGATTGAACTCAGCTCATCAAGCTTGGTGGCAATTGCTTTTACCAGTTGAACTATCTTGCTAATCCTGAAAATAAAATAAAATATTTTTTAAATTATTTTTTAAAGTATTTTATTATTTTTATTTTTTATGTGTACGAGAGTATTGCCTACATGTATGTGAGTGCATCCGTGTCGTGCAATGCTGTGGACATCAGAAGAGGGCTTCAGATTCCCCTGGAGCTGGAGTTAAGGACGGTTCATAGCCGCCATGTAGGTGCTGGGAATTGAACCCGGGTCCTCTGCAAGAGCAGTTAGTGCTCTTAACCACTGAGCCATTTCTCCAGTCCCCTTTTTAATTATTTTTAATTTAAAACATGATTTTTTGAGACCAGTAATCCCTGTAATGCCAGCTGGCCTGGTCTACTGTGTAGACCAGGCTGGCCTGGAACTCACAAAGATATTCCTCCCTCTGCCTCTCGGGTGCTGGGATTAAATGTGTGCACTACCATGCCCAGCTTTAATGGTTGTTTTCATTTAATTTTTTGAAAAGTAAAATCTTGAAGAAAGCATGGGTGACATCTCCGGCACTGTGGTCAGCTTATTGTCAGCTTTTATAGAAATGTGGGGGAGACTTCTGCTCAGCCTTTGACTCCGACATGACACAAACCTCACCCAGGTGCTGAGAACCAGTCCTGAATCTCAGCCTCAGTTTCCCCCTCTATAAAGCAGGATGGTCATGCTCCCTGCAAAAGCCACCATGGTTGCAGAAACACACAGTCCCAGCTGATGGAGCATCAGGAGGGCTTGTCCCCACAAGCAGGATTCAGAGCTGAGCTACATCCAGAGTGGGGTAGCAGGTGGGGAAGGTGTCATAACTGGACAGGGGCCAGTGCTAAGTTTCTTGGTTTGCAGTCTGGGCTTCTTTGAAGAGAAGTTCTAGTCAGAGAACATAACTGATGCTTGGGAGTGGCCCTAGTGCTCACTACTCTACACCACTGAGTCATGAGGAGCCTGACAGAGGATCCACCATGACTCTGTGTGTGTGTGTGTGTGTGGTGTGGTGTGGTGTGGTGTGTGTGTGTGTAGTGTGGTGTGTGTGTGTGTGTGTTGTGTGGTGTGTGTGTGTGTGTGTGTGGTGTGTGTGTGTGGTGTGGTGTGTGTGTGGTGTGGTGTGAGTGTGTGGTGTGTGTGTGTGGTGTGTGTGTGTGGTGTGGTGTGGTGTGTGTGTGTGTGTTCTATGCACCTGTTTGTGTGGGGGTGTGTAAGCCATAGGCTGACATCAAGTATCTTCCTCTATTGCCCTCCACCTTATTATTTGAGGATCTCCCATTGGGCCTGGAGCTCACTGATTGGGCTAGCTAGACCATCTGGCCAGTGAGCCCCAGGGATCCTTCTGTCTCCAGCCCCCAGTGCTGGAATGACAAGCTAGTGACACTATGCCTGGCTTTTATGTAGATGTTGAGAATTCAAACCTCAGGTCCTCATGCTTGTGTGACAAGTACTTTAACCACAGAGCCATCTCTCCAGCCCCATCTCACCACTCTGAGCAGTGGTATCATTGTGTCCATTTTCAAGGACTGCTGAAGGATGGGGTTGCTGGCCTCAGCTCTGGGGAGCCCACCGATCCCTCAGACACAGCCAACAAATCTGGCCACCTCCACCTTGCCTGGTCACTGACCATTTGGCTCTCTCTGCAGATGGAGACTCCCAGCTGGGCCCTGCTGTGGTGGACACCGTGCTGACTGGCATTCCAGGTCCCCGAGGTCCCCCTGGTCCCCCAGGTAAGAGGATTGAAGATTCCTTCTTGGGCTTGGCATGAACCCATAGATCTTTTTTAAAACAGGGTCTCTTGTAGCCCAGGCTGGTCCTAAGCATTCTATGTAACTGAGGATGATCTTCAACTTCTGATCCTCCTGCCTCTACCTCCCCGGTGCTGGGATTGTGGAAGTGCACCATCATGCCTGGTTTATGCAGTGTTAGGGATGGAAACCAGGGCTTCCTGCACGCTAGGAAGCACTCTACCCACTGAGCTACATCCTCAGCCTTCAGTCCAGGGGTCTTGAAAAAGCTAGAAGCCACTTTGAGAACCTGTGCTATCTAGATGGGCATGGGGCCTGGGTCTGGTCCAATCTCCATATGGCTTGAAGTGAGCCCCCCCCCCCACCTAGAGGAGTACTAGACACACCATCATGAACTCATCTGCTGGAACATGATAGATGTCTGAAGGAAGCTATCCCAGGCTGCCTTTCCATGGGCCACAGTGGAAGATGCACCAGGTTCCAAAGGGACAACCTGGGGTCACACAGGGGGATTGGAGAGCTTGGAGTGGGGCACAGGTGTACAGTGAGCAGCAAAGACAAGATCCCTAAGGGAAGAGAGGGCTTGGGTACTTCTCATTTCTCAATGTCACACCCCAAGAGCTGCATGAGTGAACAGATAAGCAATGTGGGTGACCAATGCCAGCAGTCAGGCCCAGCTGCTTACCTCTATCTGGGGACAGAGATGCAGCCCAGTGGTAGAGCTCCAGCCTAGAATCCCTCAGTGAGGGACTGGGGTGTGGCTCAGTGGTAGAGCACCTGCCTAGAATCCCCTAGTGAGGGGCTGGGGTGTGATTCAGTGGTAGAACACCTGCCTAGAATCTCCCAGTGAGGGGCTGGGGGTGTGTCTCAGTGGTAGAGCACTTGCTAGAATCTCCTAGTAAGGAGCTGGGGTGTGGCTCAGCGATAGAGCCCTTGCCTAGAATCCTCCAATGAGGAGCTGGAGGTGTGGTTTGGTGGTAGAGCCCTTGCCTGGAATCCCCCAGTAAATGACTAGGGCTGTTGCTCAGGGATGAGGCACCTGCCTAACTTGTATGCACAAGAACCCCGAGTTCATTCTTTGCACTTCCATAGGATGAGAGAAAGCCACAGTTAGAGGCAAAGCTGGGAAGGAACTGGAGTAGGGTTCATTCAAAAAGTTGCATTTGAGATGAATGAGGAAGCAAACCATGGGGGACTTCCAAGTGACATGTTCCATCTCTAGTATGCTGGGGTTGGTCAGATTGTGTTTGTTTTATAACTAGGCTGTGGCTTGGTATGTCCCCTCCTTGACGTGGCCACATTGGTATGGTCTAGCAAGGGCTACCTGTATCCTGAAAGGTGCAGGCCTATGCAGGGAAATGGGGGGAAAGGCATATATGATCTACCCTGATCCTCTGGGCACCTCTTATCTCATAGGGGAGTCAGTCATGGAATCCACAGTAGCCATGAGCATAGGCTAACCCATGCCAAGGATGTGTGTAGAGGAGGGGAGAAAGAAATCCTGGAGGGTTTCCTGGAGGAAGTGATGCTGCCTAGAAACACAAAGAAAAAAATGAGTTTTCTTGTCAATGAAGGAATGGCATTAGTGAAACTTTCCAGAAGGGTATCTGTGGGGTGAAGTGAGGGTGAAGAGGGCCTGGTTTAGGCTCTTGTGGAGTCTTTAGAAGCCCCTAACAGGATGTGATTTGGGTGGCCACAGGGTTGGTGAATGGCCGTGGTAACCAAGGCAACATGGATGGAGGGTGTTGGATGGGCTAGTTTCTAAATGGGCCGGGAACTACAGACTGGGCTGGAGGCATTCTGGATTAGCTCAGAGTTGGGGTGCCCATGTAGATTAGCCCTGGAAGAGACAGGAATTATAGACAGAGTAAATGGAAATGGGATTCTGGGCTCTGAGGATGGGGCGTGGGGCTGGGGAATGTATGTCTTCTCCCCTTCTCTGATATTCATTCAAGAGATCTTCATTTGCCTCCCATGGGGAGAGACCCAGGGCAGAGGCAGGGGAGGGAGGCTGAGACTGTCCATCTACAGATCTGGTGTGGGGGGTGGACTTTTATGACCTCAAATGACCATTTTTGCCCATAGGTCCCCCAGGACCATATGGTCCCCCAGGACCCCCCGGAGCACCTGGATCCCAGGTAAGGACTTGCCCATTTCTTGTGTGGTACAGGGGATGGTCTGGGGTGACAGTGTCCCAGTGTCTTTTGTTACTCACTCAGCCTCCTGCAGGCAGGTATCAGATTAGCATCATTTCCATTTTGTTGATGAGCTGAGTCCCACAGAGGCTAGACATTGCGGGACTCTACACAGACACTATCAGCAGAACTAAGCCAGATCACCCAAATGGCCCCCTGGGCCCTTGTTCCTACCCTTAGTTCTTCCCCAGTTGGAGAGGAGGCAGAGACCTAAGCATGACTGCACAGTCCCAAACCCCAGGCTCACTCTGTCTCTCCAACTATGTGGTCCATCAGTTTAGACAGAGGGAAGAACAGGTGCTGGTTGGTGTGAGCACAGGACAGTAGGCTGTAACGGTTAGGTGAAGTGCACTGGGATTTACCTGTGGACCTCAGTGAGAATTTCTCTTACATGGACGGAAGTGGTTGAGTGAGTTTCATGTTGGGGAAAGGGCAATTTCATGATGTCATTTGCATTTTCAGAGGGCTGGAGCTAGGCTTCCACTTTGGTGAAAGGAGGTGCTTTATGAGCCACTGGGTGATGTCAGGACTGGGACTCTGAGAGCCATCTGGGTTTGGAATTATCACATATAATGTCATCCTCCTGCCTCAGTTACTTTTTGGCCTTTCTACCCAATTACTCAGCTATCTGTTTCCCTTCTTGGGATACCCACACATGGCATTGCCTCATTGTACAAGAGAGCAGATCAAAGGCTCAGCCAAGGCTCAATGTCAAACTCCTACTGTGGATGGGGCTCCAGCATAGGTGTGGCTAGAGATAGAAAACATTAAGAGCAAGAGGGCCCCACAGGCATTGATTTCTGTTTTTGTAGGGCCTGGTGGATGAGCGGGCTGTGGCAGGGCCGTCTGTAAGTATGGGCTGAGCCAATGGGCTAGGCACTGGGAAATTGGGAGCTATGGCTGGCCTTGGACCTACAGTGTCCCCAAACATGCCCTTGTCCATTCCTACTAGGAAAGGGGTTGAAGGGAGGGACCCAGGTACAGCCTGAGCTGTCTGAACAGCAAAGGGGTGTCCTGGAGGTGGGGCCCCGGCCTGGAAGTGTGGCAAGGATGGACATGGTCTTATGTTGGGAGTTAAGGTTGCGTGACAGTCCTGGGGGCTCTACCACAAAGCTTAGATCTGGGGTTAATACACCATATGGACTGGAATTTTCTATTTTATTTTTTATTCATATTTTATGTGTATGAATGCATTGCCTGCATGGGTGTAAGTGTACCTGTGTTATGAAGTGCCTGCAGAGGTTAGAAGAAGCCTTGGATTCCCTGGAACTGGAGATACAGATGATTTTTAGGCATCATGTGCATGCTTGGAACCAAACCCAGGTCCTCTGCAAGAGCAGCCAGTGCTCTTAACTGCTGAGCCATCTCTCCAGTACGCCCGACTGGAATTTTATATTAATGCTGTAGGGCCTGAGGCTACAAATTCATGTTCTGTGTGACCAGGAAGGTCCCTTTTCTTCTCTAGACGTCTCAGAATTCTGTCTGGGACTCAGGGACAGCAGTTACTGCTCTGATAACTGTGGATCTAGGATCCAAGCTCTAGTTTAAACTCCTGATCAATATCAGTCTGTGTCCTCCTCCTGATAGCAATGATCCAGGAACAATTGTTACTTGAATTTTAGATATCCGAGGAAATGGAGGCACAGAGAGGTAGTGCAACTTACCAAAAGTCACCCAGCAGTCATTGACCATGTAGATGTTATGATGCTGGCCTTAATAGCCTCATTTTAGAGACAGAGACATAGAATCCAAAGAGGGCTCAATGGATCCTTAAAAGAGCTGATACATGAGTTCCCCAAGTTCTAAGCCTGGGTCCCCCATATCAGAAGCAGAACTAAGTCATTAAAACTGGCCCTAGACACCTCTTATGGCAGGCTGTACAAGGGGTGCCCTGGGCCATGGCCTCTTCTCCTGTTCGCACCCCAGACCACCTGTCTTCAGTCCCTGCATGCCCCCAAAAGGCAGAGCGGTGACTGCATCCCTCCAAAATTGACTGTAAGACTTGCTTCTTAGGGTGAGCCCAGGAAGGGGGAAGAAGAGGACAAGGCCACCGCTGCAGAGGTAATTATTCCTGTCAGCCATGCCCCCTGTAGAGAGCTGAGCCCAGACATAGCTCTCAGCTTCCTGGTGCTCAGCCCATTGGTTCAGTCCATATAAACAAATGGCCATGCTGCAACCCCTTGTTCACCCTACATAAAGTCTCATGAGGCCCTCCTGCCCTTGATATTTTCCAGCCCTGGCCCCACCCCTGCACCCCACAGTCAGCTCTGAGCTGGGTGCTGATTACCAGGAAGGCAGTCACTGTTTGCCACCCAGTAGTTCCCAACTCTGCAAGGTGACAGTGGGGTCACAATATTGGCCACAGGACAGTGGGAAGACTGTGGTGACTGTGGGGTAACTGTCCTGGGGGCTGGGATGGGAGGATCATTCTTAGGGGGGCTGAGGGGCCCCAAGTCTATAAAAGACACTACCCTTAATGAGCCTCAAACCACAGAGAGCTGTCACCATACCAACCTGGGGGTGGTATGACTGGTCGAGTGAGGGGCTTCTAACTGGGACCCTAACTAGTGAGGACAAAAACAAGGTGACTGGGGCAAGGGCTTGGCCATGTGAACCCAGTCTCTTTGGAAGAGGAGGGAGGTGAAGGAAAGGTGATCATGGCATTGAGGTCAACAGGGGGAGCTTTTATTTTGCATTTTATTTATGTATTTTTATTTTATGTGTATGAGTATTTTGCCTGCATATATGTAAGTTCATTATCCATGCATGCAATGCCCATGGAGGCCAGAAGAGGGCACCAGATTCCCTGGAACTGGAGTTACACATGGTTGCCAGCTGCCCTGTGGGTGCTGGTAACTGAACCCAGGGTCCTCTGCAAGACCAGTTAGTGCTCTTCACCACTAAGCCAGCTCTCTAACTCCCACACAGGGGGAGCTTTAAAAGCAGGGCTGGGATGTGGCTCAGTTGGTACAGTACTTGCCTAACATGCACAGTGCTCAGGGTTCCATTCCCAGTAGCCCATAAGCAGGCTGGAAATGATGTACTCCCTAAGGGCCTTCTGGTTGTGTCAGAACTGGGCCTATGGCAGGCTTTGCAAGGGTGAGCTGAGGAGATTTGGAGTAGGATAAAGGAGACTGGATGCTATGGGTAGGGGGGAAGGGCTGAGCTTTGGGAGAGAGGTTAGGCCCTGGGTGGTGGGGGGGCAGGACTGAGAGGTTTTTGTAGCACCTGAACAGAGGAGAGAGCCTGGAGTGGGAGTGCACACCTGTTATCAGACTAAGACAGAAGGATCATGTGTAGTGAAACCCTGTCTCAAAAAAGAAAAAGAAAGCAAGGGGATGGAGAGTGGTTAAGAGCACCAGCTGCTCTTGCAGAAGATCTGGGCTTGATTCCCAGCACCCCCATGGTGGCTGGCAACTAATTCCAGCTCCACGGCCTGCAATGCCTCTTCTGGTGTCCTCAGGCATTGTACTTACATGGTGAACTTACATACATGCAGGCAAAACACTCATGCACATAAAAATAAATGAATAAATAAAATTTAAAACAGTGCAAGTAGGCAAGTGAGGGAAGGATTGCAGGGGAGGAAAGAGGAGAAATAGGGAGAAATGAAAGAGAAATGAGAGGGGGAGGGAAGAGAGAAGAGGGAAGGTAATGTGGGGCTTAGAGAAATGAAGCTTAGTTGTGTGTCTGACAGAGGGCCCTGGAGACCCCTGTTCACCCAAAGCTCCCTCCTCAACTAGGGCACATGGACTGTGCTCAGTTTCCCACTGCCTTTGTCTCCTGGACTGGGAGACTTCGCTCTTACACCCAGCGATAAGACACCTGTTAGGCTCTGAATAGAACAGCAGATCTCTTTCATTCCACCAGCAAAGATGTCCACCTGCCCTGACACAGTACCAGGCTGCACAAGACAGTAGCCTTGTCCTTGGCCATGCAGCTTTCTTTCACTTTGATGTCCATCTCCTCAAAAGTCAGTGCCTCAACTTGACCTCTTGTCCCCACCAGGGCGAGGGTGTGCAGCAGCTTCGAGAAGCGCTGAAGATCCTGGCGGAGAGGGTCCTCATCCTGGAACACATGATCGGCGTCCACGGTGAGCAATGACCAGACCCCCACTGCCCCACACCCTGCTGGCCTCCTGGGGGCTGCTGAAGGTCTGTGGTCCCCTGTCTTAGAAACTCCACCGTGTGGCTCTCAGATGAGCCTCACTAAACTCCTTTGGTACTGTCCCTCTGCTGCAGAGTGTCCAATCTCAGCTCCACAACACCCTCTCCAGCATCATGGGGCTATGACCAGTCACATCCACCCATGGCAGGCTACCTCCCACCTCCATCCCTTGCTCAGGCCAGTCCCTCTGACTGCTGACCACTAGCTCCCATGTCAGGACATGCTGAAAGCTTCCTCCTCAGTGAAGCTGTCCCTGAGCCTATCTTTGTTCCCATCTTCCCTGTCATTGTGGAATGAACTCTCTGCCTGTCTTCCTGACACATTGGGGGAACCCTTCTACAAGGGGGAGCTGGTGCCTCTGCGGAGTCTGGAGCTCAGGCCACTCAGCACTGATTAAAGAACAAATGGGTGGGGGCATGGATTAATGAAGGAGTGGCAGCAGGAACAAATGGGGGAGTGAGCCAGTGCATGAGTGAATGGACAGCCGATGAATGAATGAATGAATGAATGGGGAAGGAGCAGGTGGACAGGGGAGAGTGGATCTGTGAATGAAAAAAGGTGTGAATGAAAAATGGGAGGTGAATGAATGGAAGAGTATAAATGGGTGAGTGAATGGATGATGGATGAATAAATGGAAGAGTGGATGAATCAGTGGTGAATGAATGAATGGGTGAGTGAATGAATGTGTGGATGGATGAATGAATTGGTGAACAAATGAATGAGGGAAGAAGCTGCTTTGCCACCTCCCACTGGACAGGGGCTTCCTGCCATGGCTGGGCACAGGAAGCAGAGACCATTTAGCGCACCCAGGCTGTCTCGAGCCACCCTTCCACCCTCTTTCCAGATCCCCTGGCCCCCGCTGAGGGAGGCTCTGGCCAGGATGCAGCACTGAGAGCCAACCTCAAGATGAAGCGGGGAGGCCCTCAGCCAGATGGCATTCTGGCTGCCCTTCTGGGCCCTGATCCTGCACAGAAGAGCTCTGACCAGGCCAGCAGCAGGAAGTAAGAGTCTTGTGCTCCAGGACAAGCCCATCCCTGGGCTGAATGGCTGCTGCCTCCAGACAGCATACCACGTGAAAATGGACATCAAGCAGGGATGATTGTGAGGGACTCTGGGACCCTGGGGGCCCTGGAGGGCAGGGCTCAGAGTGGACTAATACCCCAGCGGAGCCCTTCCTTTGCCCCTGTCCCCCCTCCCACTCCCTGCTGGAGACAGGGTCTGGGTAGGCTGAGTGGCAGGTGTAAGAATCTCAGTTATTTAGAGCCCCACTCTGTCAGGGCCTGCCTGTGGTGCCTTCCCTGTATTGTCTCATTTAACCTTTAGGAGGTAGACTTGTTATCCCCACTCAACATGGGGACCAAGATGTGGAGGGTACACATGACCTGGATCATGGATAGCAGGGTGGAATTTGAACCCAGGCCTCTCTGTTGCAGAAGCCATGACCTCTGGACTTTGTTAGTTTCTTCCCCTCTCCATAACGAATCAGACAGGAGGGTGTGGGATCAGGACAACTGAGACAGCCAGGCTGCCGGGCAGCTGGGCCACCTGGGAAGACACACAGGTGCTACAGGACTTGGGCCTGCCTCTTTTCCTCAGCTCACATCCCAGGGCTTAGGGGTGAAAGGTATCAGCCTTCAGAGGCCAGGGAGACCCCAGATAAACCATTGAGGGACTTTGGACCATGAGAGAGGGTCTTTGGGGGAGAGAGGGTCAATGGCCTTTGAATCTAATTGGCAATGCTCCTCCATACTTTTTCCCAGTCTTGCTGAGCCCACCAGCTCCTACTTGAGCCCACCAGCTCCTACTTGACCCTCCCAAACTCCTATTTGAAAGGAAGAACATTTAATGGGACTGTCCAGTCAGGGTAGGACCTGCAGCCTCCATCCCTCCCAGTCCCTTTGAGAAATCACTCACCTTCCTCTTCAATGGGACAGTGCAAGTCCACGTCCCCTGTCAGAGAGTCAAACTGCCCGTGTCCCCACCCTTTGGGGCTAGGGTCCTGGCAAGTCCTGGCAGAGCTGGGTCACAGTAGCCCAGAATGGCTTATCCACAGCTCTCTAGGCCTCTTGGTCTCTTGGTCACAGAAAGTGCTGGTACCACCCTGAGGTACATCCCCCCTCCAACGCCCAGCAGGCATAGTCAGTCCTTAGAGTTCTTGGTGCTTACATGAGGCTGTGACCTAGTTCTTCTGGGCCCTGCTAGCCCCTCTTGGGGCAGGTCTGACCTCCTGCTGGCCTATCCTGGGCTAGTCTCTGTCTCTATAGGTAATTAGGAACCTATGTTGTTACTGTATTTCAAAATAAAGGTGCTCTCTCCACTGTGGTCCTTTCGTGGCTTGCCAGCTATGGGGGAGGCTGGACTGCATCCCAATACTCATGGCAGAGAAACTATGAGCAAACATCCAGTGTTCTGGCGACTGTAAGGTTTCTGAGACAGGGGAACTCAATAAAGCAGCAAGAAGAGGGAAGGTTCCCCTCAGAAACCAGGGCTGGTGAGATGGCTCAGTGAGTACAGGAGCTTGCTGCCAAGGTCGGTAGCCTGAGTTCAGTTCCCAGGACCTACATGATAGAAGGAGAGAACTGACTCCTGCAAGTTGTCTTCTGACTTAACATGCTTGTGTGTGTGTGTGTGTGTGTGTGTGTGTGTGTGTGCGCGCGCGCACGCGCGCGTGTGTGTGCATGCACACACACACACACACAAATAAATGGATGTAAATTTTGGAAAAAAGAGGGCTGGAGAGGTGGCTCAGCAGTTAAGAGAACTGACTACTTTTGCAGAGGACCCAGGTTCAGTTTCCAGCATCCATATGGTGGATCACAACTATCCATAACTCCAGTTCCAGGGGATTCAACACCCTCTTCTGGCCTGGACATTGCATGCACATGGTATACCTATGGACATGCAGGCAAAGCACCTATACACATAAAATAAAAATTAATATTACTTAATTTTTAAAAAGAAAAAGATGCCAGCTCATTCTCTCCAGCATTGCTGAATTTGATCTAATTTGGGACCCCAGCCCTGCAAAGCAGAGGTAAGTTGAGGGATGTTAGGTGTTGCATGACTTGGGGAAGGCGGTAATGTGTAAAATTAATACCTCCCTCCCAAATGGGATGGCACGACATCCCAAAGAATGATTCAGACCAGTCTATCAAACAAGCCCTTTATTTATTTATTTATTTATTTATTTATTTATTTATTATTTCTAGGTACTTTTATTGTACATGTATGAGTGTTTTCTTTGCATGTATGTAAGTGCACCCATGCCCTGCAATGCCTGTGAAGGCCAGAAGAGGGTGTTGGATTTCACTGGAAGTGGATTAGAGATGATTGTTAACCACCATGTAGGTGCTGGGAACTGAACCTGGGTCTTCAGCAAGAGCAGCCAGTGCTCTTAACCACTGAGCCATCTCTTCAGCCCCAAGCCTATCAGACAAGCCTATCTTGAAGAAGACCAGGAGTTTCTGAGAAAAACTAGAGATGGCTCCACTCCTCCCTAGCAAGTGTCAATTCCCCCTCCCACCCCTCCATAGCCGGCCCAGCCCCTACAGACATTCAGTGCTTCTGCAGTTCAAAAGTTCCAGAATGGAAGCACCAGTGGGGACCGTGTGGTGGGGACAGCCATCCTGGCCCTGAGTCTGTCTCACCTGTGTCTGCTCTCTCAGCCTGCCCTTAGCATGTCTCAAAGATCACAAAGGGCAGCGTCAGGAACAGCCTGGCACTGTGCCCCAGCAGGGGGAGATGGAGGTACTGCCAGGATCCCCTGGACCGAGCTATGTCTGATCACCCACATGTGCATGACAGGACCTTGGCAAGTGATCCCTTGAGGCAGTAACAGGTGATGAGCAGAGACGGGAATGGAAGGCTTCCCAAGCCAGCCTCCATCAGAACATAGCCCCTCCTCACCCAACAAGCCTACTCCTGCAGCTCCAACCACCCAGGAGTTTTCTGGAACACATCTCTCTCACACACAGACCTGTTTTATGGAGAATTTCATGAGATTTTTTCAATTAATTGAATTCCCCAGGAGATTTACATCCAATGTTATTAATAAATTCTAATGCTGCCTATAACTTTCAATTGCCAGTTAATTAACTCACAATTGGGGTGTTGTAAAAGGCAAATTAAATACATTTCCAGGCAGGGGCTGGCAAAGCTGATGAGGCTTGTCAGTGTGTGCTGAGGTAGACAGCTGGGACAGCATCCCCCCGCCCTTCAGTTGATGACAGTGATGACAGCAAGTGACGTCACTACTAGGACCGGCCTCCAGCACTCTGAGAAACCTGAGGTTGACATTGCTTATTTATAAACGATCACAATGTAGGAAGCTGTGATAATTTTGTATCTTATGTATGGGTCGACAAGTAGCCAGATACGTAATCAAATTTTATTAAGGTTATATCTGGATGACATGAATATTTATTTTGTTTTGTTTGTTTGAAACAGGATTTTGCTATGTAGCCCAGATTAGCTTCAATCTTTTTTCAAAATTTTTGTTAGACATGTATTTTTTATTTCACATGTATGAGTATTCTGCCTGTGTATATGTAAGTACACCCATGTTATACAATGCCTGTGGAGGCCAGAGAAGATGTTCCCTGGAACTAGAGTTACAGATGGTTGTTAGCCCGCTATGTGGGTGCTGGGAACTGAACTCAGGTCCTCTGCAAGAGCAGCAAGTACTCTTAACCACTGAGCCATCCCTCCAGCCCCAGGCCCAACCCCAATCTTTTGATCCTCCTGTTTCAACCTCCCAAAGTGCTTGGATTACAGGCCTACCACCTCACACACACTGTCCTCTGGACAGAATTCCTGGTCCCATTAGAATTCGAGAAATGGAGTTGGGATGTAGCTAGTGGGTAGCATGCTTCCTAGCATGCATGAGGTCCTGGATTCCATCCCCAGTACCATGTAAACAAGGCATGATAGGGCAGGCAAGTGATGGAGGCTGTTTCTGGAATCTAGGGTAACTGCAGGCTGCAGAGAGCATCAGATGTCTTTGGGGTTTTGGAGGACAGTGTAGAAGCTGACCATAAGATGCCTCTGTCACTCATCTCCACACTTTCAGCCTTGAAGGGCAATGAGCTGGGTCAGACATCCCCAGTTGTCAGATGGACACTCCTTGAGTGATTGACAGGCCAGTGTGCAGAAGTGGAAGCTGAGATGGTTACTGTTAATTGTCAGTCTGACTGATTCTAGAACCCCCTAGGAGATGGGCTCTGGGCATGCCTGTGGGGGATTATCTTCATGGTGCTGGGATGAAGACCCAGTCCACTGTGAGCAACACTATTCCCTAGGTAGGGAGTCTAAATGGAGAAAGCCAAGTGAGTGAGCAAGTGAGCGAGCATCTCTCTCCGCTCTTGACTGTGGATGTGATGTGACCAACTGCTTCAAGCTCCTGCAGCCTTGACTCCCCCTCCATGATTGCCCAAACCTTCAACTGTGAGCTAAGACAAACCCTTTGTCCCTTAGGTTGCTTTTGTCTGGGTATTTTATCACAGCAACAGCAAATGCAACCAGAGACAGCACTGACCCAAGGAGAAAGAAGCAAAAAGTGATGCCTGGCTCCCAGTTACCAACTGGGCCAGGGGAAGAGTCAGTACTTTTTAGCAAAACCCATTTCTGGGATGACAGAAGGTGCTTGCCACTGAACCTAATAACTTGGGTTCCATCACCTGGATGCACACAGTAGAAGAAGAGAACTGACTCTGGGTCAGAATGGGTTATCTTCTAAGCTACACACATGCATACACACATCACACACATATCATACCACACACACACACACACACACACACACAAAGTAAGGAGCTGGAGAGATGGCACAGTGATTAAGAGCATTTGCTACTCTTGCAGAGGACCTGAGTTCTGTTCCTAGCACCTGTGTTGGGAAACTCACAACTGCCTATAACTCCAAGGAATCCAGCATCCTCTTCTGGCCTCCTCAGACACCTGAACACATATGACATGCATTCATACAGACCCACACATATAAGTTAAAAATAAATAAACCTCTTTTTTTTTAAGGAGCTGGAGAGATGGTTCAGTGGTTAAGAACACTAGCTATTCTTGCAGAGGGTCTGGGTTCAGTTCTTAGCATTCACATGGTAGCTAAGGACCATCTGTAACTCCAGTTCCAGGGAATGTGAGGCCCTCTTCTGGCCTCTGCAGGCATTGCATGCACATAGTGCATTTAGATATATGTAGGCAATACACTCATACATGTAAAATAACATTTAAAGAATTTTTTTTTAAATAGAAAAAAGATTCAAGGAAGCAGAAAGCAGGACTCTTGGTGGGGGGTTTCTGACTCCTGGACTCAACACAGGAGCTCCCCAGGACATCTCCCACAATGCATCTTGGGCTGGCATGACACACAGAGCATAGACCACAGGCCTGAACAAATGAGCCTCACAATTCTAGAAGCTGTGACATCCCGTATTAAGGCTCCAGCAGTCAGAGCTGACTAAGCTGAGGACTTTTCCTGGTTTGTACCTGGCTCCCTTCTTGCTACATCTTCTCCTGTGTGACATTCTTCCTGGGATTATGTGAATAAATGGCTACTCACCCCAGATTGGGAACCAACAACAGACCAATGTCACAATACCAGCCAAGTCCAACTTGGTGACCCAATGAATTTTACTCGGGTTATTTACAGAAGTGTGGGTGAGGGGTTTCTTACAGGACCATGAATGACCAAAAGTTCACTGTAGCCTGGTAACAGTTCGTGAAAGCTGGAACCCTGGAGCCTGCAGGCAGCTGAACAGGGCAGAGCCTCTCTCCTTAGCTGTCCTTACTCTCTATATGAACTTGGGGAGGCAAGGACTTTATGAATCTGCCAAATTTCAGGGATTTCCTGAGTCACATGAACCATGTACTTCCAGAGTCTTACTGAATGTCCCTATAGAACTTCCGGAGTCCTAAGGAACTTCCCTGTAGAACAGAATGTTGTAATTATGAGGGAATTATTACATAACACATATCTTTCCTCAGAAGGGCACTAATCCCATTCTGGGGGCTCCCCCCTCAGGACCACAGGAACTCTCAAAGACCCTCCTACTCCTGTCTCCTTTCTTTCTCTTCCTCCTTCAAATATGCAGCATGCTGGGGAGTCAGGCTTTGTGTGTGACTTTTCTCCGTGCCATAAGAAAATACCTGACAAAGGCAACTTAAAGAAGAAAGGGTTTGGGGCTGGAGAGATGGCTCCGCAGTTAAGAACACTGGCTACTCTTGCAGAGGACTTGGGTTCAGTTCCCAGCACCTATATGACGGTCAACAACCATCCATAACTACAGTTCCAGGGGATTCAATGTCTTCTTCTGCTCCCTGTGGACATTGCATGCACAGGTGCAGTTGCATACACACAGACAAAATACTCCTAACATAAAATAAAAAT